TCCGTTGTTTTTTGCCTTCAATTCAACGCCTTGGCGTCATTTAAGAAATTTATATATATATGCTCTTCAATGCATAGATCCCCAATTTTGGATCCAAAGTTGCTACCCCGGAAGATCTGCTTCTCTTTCCGCCATTGATTCTCAACTGAGTCTTGGCTTATTCCAGTTTCTTCACTGTAGAGAAACATGTTTTTGTGGGATTGGTTTTATGGGGTTCTTGCATCTCTTGGTTTATGGCAAAAGGAGGCCAAGATTCTGTTCTTGGGTCTCGACAATGCCGGTAAGACAACGCTTCTTCACATGTTGAAAGACGAGGTAACGTCCCTGAATCCATCATGTTTTTGGGTTTGTGTTTTATGGGGTTGGGAGATTGATGATTGTTTGGATGATGATGATGATGATGATGATGATTGTTTGGATGATGATGATGATGATGATGATGATTGTCTGCAGAGGTTGGTGCAACACCAGCCAACTCAGCACCCAACTTCCGAGGAGCTGAGTATAGGGAAAATCAAGTTTAAAGCTTTTGATTTGGGTGGTCACCAGATTGCACGCCGAGTCTGGAAAGATTATTATGCCAAGGTAATCTGTTTTCTCCTGATCTCTTGGTCTCACCCTTGTTAGAATGATTTTTTTTTTATTATTATTTTTTTTTATGTTGATTGCTCAATGTTCATTGAAAGATTGATTATACGGGTTTTTAATCTGTTTGTTGATGCTTCCTTGTTAAGGGTGAGAAATTTAAGTTGGGAATATGGGGTTTATGAATGTATTATTTCTTCTGATTGGAATTGTGGACATGATAATACCTGGTGTCTGTAATAATTGTGGTTCATTTCTTTCCATTAGTTTCTTACAATTGTATTATAAGGTGTCTTGTTATGGTTGTCTGGAACTTAGGTGAAAGGGAAATTTTTCCCCTTTTTAATTGGTTCATCCCATTTGAACTGGAATGATACTGGTTTGGTTGTCAGACCTCTACTTTTTATGGATGTAGGTTTGATACTTTCTTTTTCACTCTTGCTTGTCCTTGAATTATGGTTAGGTGGTTTACTTTTAACTTTTAGTTTTGTATGGAAAGGATCAAAATGTTTTAATTTTGTGGACAGCAAAAGGATCCGCTCTTATTTATGTGTGTTTTACTAAAACCCCTTTTCAACAAGTTAACTGAGATAAGTTTTGGTGCAAATTCTGCCTTCATAATCCCAGGTAAACTGTCTTTGTGTTTATCTGATTCATGGGAGGCAGATATTGATAATGGAAGTTTCGCTGATGGCACCTTTGTTTTCTGTAGGGAAGGTGTTTAATAGTAGCTTTCCACACATGATCTCGGCTTTATCAAATTGTTACCAGAAAGAGTCATTTTGTTGATATTAGCCCTATGTAAAGTCTGCTCATAAGATCTATTTAAGTTGGAGGTGCAATTTTGAGTTCTCTTTCCCTATGTGAAGTAATGTAGCTCTATTTTCTGGTGGAGAAGGGCTTTCCTTAAATGAATTGACTGCTAGCATAGCAGTAACTAAATTCCATCAATATCTTGGCTTTCTCACAAAATTTTCCACCCTGATAAAGTTGTCTCCTTGGTCTGTCTAGCATTTATCAGAAGATTCTCAGATTCCAAGTTGACTACTGTCCCATGAGCTTCTTCAATCCTAATTATTGTGAAGATCATGCTGGATTGATTGCTCTATTCCTTTCTCATTTTGATGAAGTATCCAATGTGTGATAATGCCTTTATCTTTATGCATGGACTTTGATTTTTTCCTCTCTTTTTTTCCTAATTTATTTCTCCCAACATCAATTCTGCACAATCTGCTCCTTAGAGCGCATGCATGTCAAATATTGATGCTTAAGAACTCTAGTTCACTCGCTCCTAGGTTGATGCAGTAGTTTACTTGGTGGATGCCTATGACAAAGAGAGGTTTGCAGAGTCAAAGAGGGAGTTGGATGCCCTCCTGTCAGATGAAGCTCTTGCAAACGTTCCGTTCCTTATCCTAGGCAACAAGATTGATATTCCCTATGCTGCTTCAGAAGAAGAGCTACGTTACCAACTTGGACTGACCAATTTTACTACTGGTAAAGGGAAGGTGATTCTTACACAGTCCAACGTCCGTCCTCTTGAGGTCTTCATGTGCAGCATTGTTCGCAAGATGGGTTATGGGGATGGCTTCAAGTGGTTATCACAATACATCAAATAGAATCAAAAGGTTTATAGCATGTGTCCCTGTATTCTTGAGGACCTTCTAACTGCCATTCATGCAGTGTGAGGCTGGGGTTCAATTAACCAAAAAAAATTTATTTGTTTCCGTTGGTATTGGATTTAACAGCCACAAAATTTGGTCAAATCAAATGACACTTCACAAAATTGTATTCTCTGAAAGATTCTGATTGTGTGAAGCTACTTCTTTGATAGATTCTAATTCTTGTCCATTGTGTTTGTCAGTCAGGAAAAAGTGAAAAACCCAATAAACTTTTGTCATTTTATGCAGTTGCAATGTAACAATAGAGTGAGCACCTTTTCTTTCTTCTTTTTTCTTCCTTTTTGGAACAAGGGCTATTGCAGGGAAAGGGGTAAAAGAATGGCTTAACCTATGGATTGGAGAAGCATTAATAGCATGCAAGATTAGTATGAATATTTAAATAGTTAATGAAATTTGAATTTTTTATTAATCTTATTTAAATATTAAAACTTAAAGACGAAACTATTAGATTTTAAGAGACTGTTTGAGCACTTTTTTATTTATTCCTTCCTTTTCTAGTGGTGATAACATAAGAATAAAGTAGTAATTATTCATAAATTCTTTAATTTTAATATAGATAAATCATTTATATTTTAATAGAAATAGAATTTTTTTAGTTAAATTAAAAAAATTAATTTTAAAATATATACAAATTAATAAGAAACATTTTAATTAAAAATTATTTTAAAATAATAATTAATAATAATAAAAACACAATCATCACATCTAAAGCTCGGATAGGCCAGCTATAGGTTGAAGTTTATGGGTTATTGCTTAAAACAAATAATCTTTTTAAATGTAACAAATTAATATAAGAAATATTAATGTGAATGAAATTAGCCTTTAAAGCAGCACACAATATACGAATAAATACAAAAAATAAAAATAAAAACACAATTATGGAATGACAGCGTTATCGCCAATTCGCCATTAGTTTCCATGAGCAACGGCCAACGCACCCGAATGACGCGTACCAACCAATCATCGTCGTCCAACTGGGACAACCATGGTATAGAGATACAGTCGGCCCCTCCCTACTCCTGGTACACCAATTTTCACTTCATCCCTACCATGTAAATTTTAACAATCTCAGAAATTTCCTTCTCAATTTTCAGCAACTTTTCCCAGAACCCAAACGCAAACAGAAAGTAAAAAAGCGAAATGTTTCTTGTAGATTGGTTTTATGGGATTCTAGCGTCTCTTGGGTTATGGCAGAAGGAAGCAAAGATCTTGTTTTTAGGGCTTGATAATGCTGGCAAAACCACTCTGCTTTTCATGCTTAAAGATGAGGTAATTTTAGATTGTTCCTGCAAACTCTCTGCTTCATTTTCTTGTGTTTTTCCCCTTTTATCAGTTTTATTGATTTAATTATATGTTGTTCAACTTGTAATTCCGTTGTTTGTTTCCTGAGAAAAATTGAAGGAAAATAGATCAGTTAGGCTTGGTCCAGTGATATGTGGTGAAAAGAATTGAACTTTGCTTCGTTTTTGTTAATGGGTATTATGCATTAGATCGATTGTATTGTGTTAATCTTAATTGAATTCAAAAATCGAACTTGATTGCAGAGATTAGTGCAGCATCAACCTACGCAGTACCCTACATCAGAGGAGCTGAGTATAGGGAAGATCAAATTTAAGGCCTTCGATTTGGGGGGCCATCAGATTGCTCGCAGAGTCTGGAAGGACTATTATGCCAAGGTGTGTCTCTTCTGCATATATTATGGGTTTTTCTACTTTAAATATTATCTTTACAGACGGTTTAATTATTTCTTTAGCCCAACGACTTAATTTAATTGGTTGAAATAAGACCACCTCACCTCCCTTTCCCTCCCTTTACCTCAACTACCTCAATTTAATTTGTTGAAATAAGACCACCTCTCCTCCCTTCCCCTCCGTTCTCTCAAACCAAACAGACTTACTATGTTTTGTTTTGAACTTTGTAGTTTAGGTAGCAACCTAGATGTTCACTAAGACTGAGATGATTTGATTAGGAAAATAAAATTGTTGATTATTGGATTTAGTTTCTAGAGTTGATTCACACACAATGTCTTCTTAGAATGGGATCTTACAGTACTCACATGGCAAAGTGGATTTGTACCAATTCACGAGTGTTGTTAGAGTGAAAAGCACCAATCATAATTATTTCCACCTAAGATTTGTAAGATTTTATTTAAAGAAAATATAACATTACTTTTAGATTTTCAGAATCTTTTCATGTGCTTGGATTTCCCCTTTGATCTTTAAATGCAAGTTAAACGGGTAGTTGCAACATTAGTACACAAAAATGGTAGTTGCATTTTGACTGTTTGGAAGGAAGCCTCCAAGGAAAGAAGAGTTTGGTCATTGTGTAAATTGTGAAATGTGAGTTATATAAGAAGGTAAAACATCTATTTTATTTTTTTCCAAATTTACTCGTGAACAATATGCTTTTTGATGCATATTTAATATACTTAAATGAATGTACAAATCTTCTTGAGCCGTGATTCTTGGTGTTTGTGTTCAAAATAAGGAAAATAAAGAACTTCACTCATTTATTCTTGTTGCTGATGTGAATCGTATGCATACTTATTTTTTTAATTTAGGTGGATGCTGTAGTGTACCTTGTTGATGCCTATGACAAGGAGAGATTTGCTGAGTCAAAAAAGGAACTTGATGCTCTGCTCTCAGACGAGTCGCTGGCAAACGTCCCTTTTCTCATCCTGGGAAACAAGATTGATCTGCCTTATGCTGCCTCAGAGGATGAATTGCGATATCACATGGGTCTGACCAACTTCACCACAGGCAAGGGGAAGGTTAATCTGGAAGACACAAATGTTCGTCCCCTTGAGGTTTTCATGTGCAGCATCGTGCGCAAGATGGGATATGGCGATGGTTTTAGGTGGCTCTCTCAATACATTAAGTAGGCAAGAGAGAAAGCAAGCCTGCCACCTCCATCTGCGATATTCTTGCAACTACCGCTTTGCCTCTCCAAGTTTGTATTAGGAGGAAGAATTGAATATGGGTGCCCTGTAAATATAAGTATAATATAGGCTTTTGTTAGTAGCAGCTTTTTATTAATGTTAGCTTGAAAACTTATTTTCGATATTTCCAAGCCACCCTTGTTCTCCAGTTTGAACTTTGGTAAGCCAACAGGTTAAAAACGAGAGGGAAGATGGTAAAATTCAGGTAGGTTGTTTAGCTCTAAGATATCCCCATTCTTCGTCAATAGAAGCTCCTAAGGAGATGTCTTTGTTGGAGTTTTGAAGTTTGAATTTTGAAATAGGTGAGGAAGGATTAGAGAAAAGGGGGATTATTTCTATTGCATGGCACATCGTTTAATGTATTAGGAAATAAAAAAAAAAACATTGATGGAAAATTCTCATAAATTTTCAGAATTTTAATGTGCTCACTTGGCTTAGCTATTAATCATCTTTATTTGTAACAAAAGTTGAAGGTAGCGCAAATTAATTTTCCTGAAATGGCACTTTCGTCATTTTATTAGCATTTTCAAAAATGAATTATAAGTACTTTATAATAATTTATTAAAATAGCCATTCTACAAAGACAAAACAGAGTTGAATGCATTTGCTGGTTAGAAATAACAACCCATGATCCACCGATTTCACAGATTTACACTGTCGACAATAATCACGGGCCAATTAAGGTTAAAGTGGGTTAAAAGATCTTACTCAACTTGTTTTAAAGAGTTAACTGCTTCACATTACAAAGATTTGAACCTCCAATACTAACTTCCAATCAAAGTTTTTTTATTACTTAGTACAAACTTAGCTAATCTCTTGACTAAAAGAGGATAATTGGAAAGGAGGTTCTTCACTAACAATGCAGGGGTAGAGAGTTGTCACAGCAATGTTGAGTGAAACTATATCTGACGCCTGATACAAGTGCAACCTAGATGATGCACAAACCTTTGAACCCTCTCAAATTCATAAAACAGTATGAAAGGGTCCAGAAATTTACATCCATGCCAATCTAGGCGTTTACCAAACAAAAAAAATGCAGCTTTCACGGATCATTCTTATACTCATTAGTTGAACCTGGAAACGATGGACTTCAGTTTCTTCGAGTATCCATGTCAATGTCGGCATCAGAATTGTGGAACTCTTCATATTCCAACTGCACAAAGAACCATAACTTGCTTGTTAAAGACATAAAAATACAGAACTGCAATCAAGTTATAGGGAAATTACCCACCGTTGCTTGATTATGGGTTAATTTCATCCTCTGGTATTCCTCTTGTGTTTTCTTTGAGCCGATCATAGCATGGACCCGTACAACTGCTCTGTCGACACGTTCTTCAGCTTGTTTCCGGCTGGTTCTGTAAAAGTCCTCCTCTGAGTCGCTTTCTTCCTGCCTTTGATCTGCTGCTGGTTCAACTACGTTAACACAAAGCCCCCGAAAGCCTTTTCTCTTCAAACGCCATCGTAGAATTACTTTCTCAAGCACACCAACAGACCAGAGAATCTTACGGTATTGCTTCCGCACTTGGAAGCCCCGAAAAGTGGCCTGAATTTTGGGATTCATGCAATTCAATCAGTCAAGCTCAGATTCAGCATGGTACAATCAGAATAGTCTGTTTTGCATGCAAGCCACAACCATAAGGAGCTTGAGATAAAAGTCTGAAAATCCTAGACAGAATTTCTCCTTTTAATGCTTGAAGACATCATGAATTTGTTAAATTTGAGTGAAAAGATAAACCTGGTTTACTTGCCAGCATTAGAAATTATAATTACCGAAATTCAGGAGGTGCTTGGACTAGATAAAACAAGATTAATGTATGATTTGGCCAAAAAAAATATAGGATAAAAGGAGATTATATTGGCAGGGAGGAAGAGGCTTCCCACCAGGTAGCAGCATATTTCAGGCAAGTAAGATCACAAGAAAAAACGCTTTAGGATATGCATGTTAAGGACTTGTGTATGCATTGGGACAGGTTGCTTGGACGAATTAAAAGGAGCCTGTTAAGAATTGTGTATGCATTAGAACAGGTTTTGTTGGATGAGTTAAAAGGAGATTGTATCAGCTAATGACACTAAAATATGCTGTTCTTTCCACCATGTGGTACCATGTTCTTTCTGGCAATTATCATGATTCAGGGAAGTAGGATGATAAAAGAGAGGCTCTACCTGGATTTTGATAACATGGCGACGCACATTAAGGAACTCCCTACGCATTTTCCAACTACGAAACCTGTATTGAATTCGGGCAGCAGCAACCATTTTTTTTCTTGTTGCATGGTTGCGAAAGGCATGTTGAATTTTCATTGCTGCAACTATGTTACGTGCTTCATCCTCTGGATTGGAAGACTGAACAGCTTTAGTCCGTATTTTCAGAGAGTGCTCCCTGAACGCAAGCTGTATACGTGCAGCTGCATCAGCAGCTGTGCAGTAAGCTGCCAAAGTGTCCTTCAAGTACAATCCCTCTTCAGTAATGTTGCCAGAGCTTCTTACATCAACTGAGCTGGTTTGCAATGTTCCACTCACATTTCCTGCAATGGCCATCTCCTCAAACTGTTTAACTAAAGCCTGCTCTGAAAGATATGCAGCTAACCCGTCATAACCCTTCCTTGATGCAAGATCAGCAGCAGTTAAACCACCAGGGTTTTTTGAGGTGGGATCTGTCACATAGTTTGGCTTTGCCCCAGCAGATAAAAGAACTGCAACCATTTTTTCCCTGCAAAGGGGAATGACATAAATCAAATAAAAATAAAAATAAAAATAAGGCTAAATTGAGATTGAAATTTTATATTCCAAGATCAGTTCAATTATGCCACCAAACAGTTCATCAATTAAAATAAGATCATGTGGAGAAAAAACACTGCTGCTAAATTTATCATTGGAAAAGAAAAGAAATTCAGTGATAGGGTTATAAAAAGTTTCAAGAGTTAAAAAAATGAAGCAAATTTACAGGCCATGGAGAAGATTTTGAGCAACAAAACAATACCTTCCATAATATGCTGCCCAGTGAAGAGCTGTCCATCCATGTTTATCACGAAAATCCACTGATAGGCCTGACCATGAAAATAAAGGAATAGCCCATGTATATCCAAGTATAGCACACAAGTGAATAACTCCTAGACCTTGAACATCATATTCAGTGGTTTTGCAGCCTTCAGCTATTCTTTCCAAGAGCCACTCCTTGAGTTTGTTCTTCAAAACAACCTCAAACAGACCATCTTTTGCTTGTGTAAATGAAGGTCGGCTGTCTTCAATTGACTTGATAAGAAATGCCCAATTATTAGATATGTAAGTGGTCTTCTGAGCAAACTTCTTAGCCTCCTTCACGATGTTTGATGAAACTTTACTGGATACAATATTAAGGCTCCTTGATGTAGAGAAGAGCAAATGTGCAAGCCTCAGCTGTAATTGGAACTCTTCCCACTTGGACTGATCTTCTGGAGGACATATTGGGTTGTGAAATAAAGGGGTGCAATACTCAAAATTAAGAACTTGACTAATTGGTTTATGGCCATCAAAGCTCATATAAAGGTTTACCAATCCAGGAGAATTTTGTGATACAAAACAGCGATAAACCCCAACTTGAACAATTTCTGCACGAACAGACACATCACCGCATACACAATACAAATTAGACTCAGAATTTCCATGATTTTGATAATCTGGATGAAAGAACCCAGTGATTAGAATCTGCAAAACCAATAAATAAAGGTCAAAACATTATAAATAGAATTATGATTCTCCATTTTCTATTCGTAAGATGTTTTGCAACATCCTTTCCATGTCCAAGATTGGTCTTTACAGTTATGAGAGGAACGAGAAACAACCATCATGCATTTCATCAATAAAATATAGCAAAAAAGGAGAAATTCTTAACCATTTCCCAACTTAAATTAAAAAAAGCTTGATTCAAGTTTCACTGATATAAATTTCCTTGATTCTAAGCTCATCATACTAACACCATGTATTAGCCCTAATCCCACCCTTTGGGAAGTAAGAAGAAATTGTGATGCAGCAGCTATAGCCCTTAAGTTGTATCCATGAGTTTCCATAACAGAAAAAAGTGGAATGTATAGTATACTCCCATGTCCGCCTGGCCCCATTTAATTCCATACATATACTGATAGGGTTACCCATCCTAAATTTCAGTTAAAAAGTGATTGTCATTGCATGAAAATAATTGGTTAAATGCTAATTTTAGTCCCTGAACTTTAAACTTTGCACTTTTTTGTCCCTGACCTAATTTAAGCAGTTTTTTCACCACTTAATATAGATTTTTATGATAAGTTAAGGACCAAAAAATGCATAGTTTAAAGTTCATGGACTTAAACAAAATAATTTAAGCTTTTGGAAGGATTATCCATCCACAGTTCAAAAACTTTCAAATATCAAGGCAGTAGAGAAAGGGGAAATAAACCTTGGTCTTTTGAGCTGAATAGGCCCATGCAGGTGAGATATCAGTAACAGTAAATATCTGCTCCGGCACATTAGATTGTTGATAGTCAGCCGTGGAAGAGGCAACCGAATGATTGTCAGATGAAACTGAGGAGTCTACCACGTGGTCATCTATTGAGATAGGGGATTCAGTCATAAGGTAGTTCATCCAATTTCCAAGACTGTCCTGACTTTGTAATCTATCATGGACCAAAACGTCTATAGAATCAACAGTCCCAACTGCACCAGAATCTTTTGTCGTAATGTCTGTATGTACTTCACAACCCATAGTCTGATTAAAAACACCATCTGGAATATCAAGATAATCATTGCCACTCTTTGTAATGTGCTCAGTTAAGTTTATAAAATCTGTATGTTGGTCTGATACATTGAAGGCCTGAAGAGTGCTACCCTGAAAAGTTGAATGCATCAGTGGTTAATGATGAAAAGGGAACATGTTTCTCAGTAATCCACAATCTTAATTAAAAGATTAAGCTATGCTTTGTACGACAATTTTGGATACCATAGCCAAGTTAATTAAAAAATATTATGGCAAAGCAAGAAACAAAAGTAAGAGCTTGATTTTATTACAAATTGATCACTTGAGGAGCCATTGACTGCAAACTGATTTTGTAGACTGAAGCCTGAATTCTGGTCTGCTACCAAAAGAGGAAAAATCAGAAACTGTTTTGTAATAAAGCTAGTGCTATTGCTTAAAATAGCATGTTTCTGTTACCTCCTTTAGGTGCCATTGTCTCATTGGTACTATTTGTCACCAGAAGCTCATCCCATTCAAGTGTATTAAGGTCACGAAGCCTCCTTTCATGGTTTTTGACCGTCACACTGTCACCAGGTTCTGTCAACTTTCCAGAAAAGCTACCAGTGAGAAGAAAATCAGTGAATCAAACTAAAAACAATTTTTTACCAAGAAAACACTAAAAATAATCATTCATACTAAAAAAATGATTAATTTGCAGAAAGATCAATCACACCAAGAAACTCTGCCTCACCTGCATAAGTTGCAGTCCCTGCCCCAGAATCAAACTCTTCTGCTGCAAACCGTGAAGGAGACTGGTCAGAGACTGAACTAGAATTTGAGTTCACAGGGGTGGCTGGAGCAAGCTGCAACTACATACAAAAAACATGGGGGGAAAAAAACCAAATTAAGGACACCTCATTTAGTCAAATATATATTGCATAAAGAAGTATACAGATTCATTACTTCAGACAAGAACAGGTTCCAATATTCCTGTATTTAGTAACAAAATTGATAAAATATGATAAAACCAACCTCTTGCGTTTCACGATAATGAACAAGAACTATATGCTCCAGGTTCCTAAAAAGGGAATCAAGAAGTCAGAATACCATGGAGGAATCTTAAGACAATGACATTAACAATAGAGAGGAATTTCTTAACATTTTTTATACCAAAGCAAAATAATGTAGGTAAAAGATTGGCAAGGGCAAATTTTGGATTTAAATTACATACTTGTCAAGCAGCCAATAACACCTGCGAACAAAGGTTGGATTATCTTGGCCATGTGCATAGTATACATGAATCCTTTCTTCATTACCAACCTGAGCCCGTGAAATAAAATAAAATTTTCAACACATGATTGTTGTTAGCAAGTAAAGATAAATATCTAAATCATGAGAAAATGGATCTTTGTGGATAAATTTCAATGCATGCACACTTAATTGTCTGATTATAAAACCAAAGCATGGTGAAGGGTTTGATACATATGATAATGGTAAAACCCAAAGAAACATGCAAGCAGAATGCAAACTGTACATATTGTGCGTATGCTTGTCCATTTATGTGTGTGAGAGAGAGAGAGAGATCAAGAACCTAGCAGCAGTTGCTCTTAAAAACCTACCATAAAGCAAAAATAGAAAGCAAATGAAGACACAGAATAATACACAAATATACCAATATACGGAAAACACCACTGCTTGTCCATGCACATGAATATGTGTCTGTTCTGTATTTCCTAACAAATGTAACTTACAAAGTTAGAGAAACACTCTGAAAATTTAGAATCTCAAAAACAAATCTGTCCTTTCTCTTTATGCATTTGTTTAACATTTTGGTCAGCCAGCATAAAGAACAAAACCTAAAAATTGATGTAAAAATCAGCAAACAAAGTTCAGATTGACTACACTGTCACATATAAGAATATTTCAAATAAAAAAGTAACAGAATGTCTAAAACCATTATTCACCAAGCATGAAAACTGACAAGCCACATAAATATGGATTGATGCCACATATAAAGACCTTATAAAGAAAGAAATCTCACTTTTAGGTGTTCATGAGCTTCTTTAACCGTCTTCCCATCCTTTTTCTTTTTCCAGTTATGGCCATCTTTTCGAAAGTTCCTCAGCATTTTTCGGTCAAACAATACAATTGTACCACCTGTTGATTAATTAAATACATTAAATAGATTACATAGGAACATTTATTAATTTAGAACTTACATGATAAACGATAGCTTAGCCAAAGCCTGCAGAAGATTGGTCTTTGTCATCCATTACTTGAACTCCAGGATAAAAATTAACCATGGCATATTGACAGTTCTAAGTAAAAACTCTGCATGCCTCATGTCAAAGTCTCATAGGCAACACAGTTAGACTTGCAATGCCTCTTTCTTCCTTTATTATACATGAGGTAGACATGCTCATGAAGGATTGGAAAAAATTTTAGGGTATTGATAACAATTGAAGGCCATTGTAAAGAGTTGAATGCCAAACTCTAACCACCCCTTCCCCCTCCCAAATCCACTCTATAGAAAAAGATAACATGCTTTTATCAATTCATAAAGACTTCTAACACTGTGAAGCATGCTCCATAATCCATATGTTAAACAATGAACTCCACTATACCATGCTCTAATCCCAGACTAGTTAAGAATCATCAAGGTGAATTCTTTTTCTCCATTCCATTCATTGAACTCTTTTTTACTAAATCAATCACACAATCTTTGACCTCCCACTATCACTCTATCCTTTCTACCAGATCACTCTTTCGCACATAAGCAATCCCTATGTATAAATTACACACAATAAACCATCCAATTGTTCTCTCAATTTCTCCATCATGAGTGCCACCTTTATGTTCTAATTGAATAACCTCATTTCTTGTCCTTTTCCTTTTCCATTTTGTCATACAAAGATGATTGAACATAAACTTCAACTTACTCAATCTTATCACCAGCCTCCTCTTCAAGTTCTCCTTTAGAAATAATTGAACTTAAATGCCTAAAATGTTGCTTCTTTTTTCCTAACAATGCTTAGCATGTATGAGGTTTGAACCATTCATGTCAACACCAAAACCAAGGGTCTAACAAGATAGTGATTATCGATTAGGCTAAGATCCAGATGTATAAACTGTTGATTCTGCAGCCCTATCCTCAGTATCCCCAGCATTTTTTCGGTCATCCTACACTCCTACCATTCTACAGTAGTCAGAATCTAATACTCTCCCTAATAACTCTAAATTTCTAACTAATGATTTACAAATATCCTGCTCTCAAGCATAAGAGCACAAATAAGCTCATCAGGAATATCTAGTAAGATTTTACACAACAAATGTAGCAAAATAGGGGCCTAAACTGAAGAAAAGATGTGAGCCAATTGTAAGAAAAAAATCCTCAATATTACTCCCATTTCTTCTCATAGTCAATTTCTCCTGTATGCCTATTCTTAATCACATTGATTCACTTTTTCTTGGCCCTAAGACATTGATCTACTTAACTCGCTGAATGTAAGCAAAACCTTGATTGAGTTAGATAGGTGTGTAATTTAACCAACAGGCTGGAATTTAATATACATATAATCTATAAATTAGAAGAACTTCAAAACAGGTCAGACATATGTCTCCTTAAATATAGGTTGGTCTGTGATTAACGATGCAATTTTGCTTACACAAACTGATGAACCTCATAAGATAATAGTTCATGGTAGTTACTTTTTGGCAAGTGCACCGGCTTGACATTGACAGGAAAATACTCGTTGTTACAATTACAAAGTATTGCATGAATTTCATTTGGTCGGAGCCATCTCGAACCAGCTTCCTCCAAAAGATTCTTAACATCCAATTCTGTCCACCAATCAAGAAATCATTAGATATACAATATAAGTACAAGAAAATTGCTTTTTCCCAAAAGCAACAGGATTACTAATATCAACTCCCCTAAGTCCTAAGCAAACACTAAATCAAACATTCATATACTACTAAAAACGATGAGTAATGAGATTAGAACATCAAATTCAACCACTATTCCAAAAAAATCTTTAAAGAAGAGCTGTTTGGCATCTGTAAACAAAAGAAAATCAAAGAAAACAATATTCCTGTGACCGTACCTTGCCATGTGCGGAAACCATGAACCTCGGAGGCAACAAGCTGCCCCGGAGAACCACCGCCGTTCATCGCGAAATTCAGCTCGTGAGAGTTCGAACTAATTATCTCTCGAAACCACCACAACCTAAAGCACTTTGATACATCGACTGCATTTAGAACAAACCCGATGAAGAACCGGATAAATTCACAACAAAAATCAAAATTTCTCGATCTGAGGGAAACGAAGATTACCTGAAATCGGCTGCAAGAATCAAGAATGGGAACGAAGAAGAAGATCGAGACGGAAAAGACTGACTTTGACTGGAAAATTATAGAGAACGACGAGACAACGGGAAACCTGCTTCTGTGCCGTAATCGGCTTCCTTAAATTTATTATAAAAAAGGAGAAATGCTTTTTAAAACATCATCATGACGCTTTTTTTTTCCCCTTGCATTCCCATTTATTGTGCCAAATTTTTTTTCTTGATATCATGAATGAGTAATCTTGTTCTATTTTTAAATCTCTAATTATTTAATTTAAATTTAAAATTTAAAATTTTTAAATTAAAATATCAAAATTTTAAGAATTGAGTCACCATTGGGATTGATAGCTTTTGTTAATATTACTAAAAATGGTTTAATATTTATTTTAATTTAATTATTAAAATGATTAAAAATTAATGAAAAAATTAATATTTATTATTTAATATATTA